GGAAATTTGTTGAAAATTATCCAAATCGGACTAAAATTACACCCCCTTCCCGTATAACTGTAAATTTCAAAAATACGAAACCGATATTTCAAAAACTGAGGACACTAATTAACTCCAAGTTAAAACGTACGGCAATCCCTTAACAATCAATAAGACTTTTATAGACTTTTAGGAGTTAGGCGTGGCACCGCCCACTTTATGACTACAAAGGTCCATCTCGGTAACCGCTTTAATGATTTCTACCAAACTTGGTTCAATGATTTCATTAAGTCAGCATATTATCGAAAACGTTTGAAATCGGGGAAAAATCTCCCTATCATGCAAGGGTAGTTGAAGGGTAGAGAAAGATGGACGACGGTAGTTGATACCTGTTTCGCCCGAACTTATATTTCTTTACTCGTTAAATTTAGTTTAAAGTTGTTCATGAAATAAAATAAAACTAGAATTTATTAATTGCATTAGAAAAGTACCCATTAATGGAAAACGAAACCAAAGTACCGTCGATGAAAAATTTTACTACATTTGGCACCGTGGGTGGGAACCGTGCAACATCCAAAGAGTTTGTTTTTAATTGTGGTCAGCAAGCAATGGCATATGCATCCAATTAAAACACATTTACCGTTCGGAGGCAGCGTAACACTGTGGGCCACTCCATTTGTATGAACTAAACTAATCCACTGTGAATCTGCGCCCGGCACGTCAAAACGTACACATAAGTATCTGAAAATTAATAAAAGGTCAAAATACATAAGTGCTTGGCTCAAATAAAGTACATAAACACGTTACATACTACTCGTATATACTACTTATGTACATATCAACAAAATATTTTTCAAACATTTATTTTTTTTTAACTCTTCGCTAGCATTTATGTTTTTAATCTGTCTGATATCGGTTTTTATAAAATGTACATAAAACATAAGAGGCTTACTTTTGACTGTAATCTGTGATTTATGACCCGGGCATAGTTGAGACTTAGAAACTTAAGAGTTTTCCGTGTTTAGGTTTACCTTTCAATTTTTCTGTTATAGGGCAGTACCAATGCAGCCCTCAACAGCCTTATGGTATTGAATTTAAGTACAGCCTAAACGCAGCTTTTTTCTGATTTGTTCAGAAATTTCATGATTAGACTACGAAATATATATTTATGAACGTAAATATATACGAGAATATATGTATGTACATTAGACTGCATCACCAAAAAAACTTGCGGGTTTTCCGCCGGGATTACAAAATTTATTATATTCTAAGACGTCCACCAAAATATGTCGGAAAAATATTAAGATTTAAGCGAGCTGGACCGATTTGAAAATACCTCCAAAAATGAAGTTTTTTATGAATAAAAATCGTTTCTTAAGAACATTTTGAAAAAAGTCCCCTCAGATGACAAATTAGATTAAGCTTAAAAAATCTGCATAAAAATATTTGAAAATCTTTTCAACGGAATCGTAAGAATGAGATTTTTGATGCTGTTTTTTTACTTTTTTCAAAGATTGGCTTACGAAAAACTTGAATAACTGGTCCAAAAAGGTTCTGATTTAGACTTATGGGATCTCAGTAGAAAGGTATTTTCACACTGTTTTTATTTCTGACCAAACAAACGTCATTCGTGTCCCATCTTGTTTTTTCGAATACCAACACACATCTTAATTCAACTTTGAATGAGGTTCGTTCATCCTACCTTTCTCTTCCATCCTTTGAATGAGTTTATTAGCAATGACACCTCTCAAGTCTAAATCGGAAGAGTTTAGGTTCAGTTATTCAAGTTTTTTCTATGCCCATCTTAGAAAAACGTTAAAAAACAGCATCAAATATCTCATCATTACGATTCCGTTGAACATTTTTTTTAGTTTTTTTTTAATATTTTAAGCTTAAACCGTTTTGTCATTTAAGGGGATTTTTTCAAAAAAAATCTTTAAAAAACTATTTTTATTCATAAAAAACTCTATTTTTGGAGGTACTTTCAAATCGGTACAGCTCACTTAAATCTTAATATTTTTCCGAAATATTTTGGTGGACGTCTTTAAATATAATAGATTTTATAATTCCAATGGAAAAATAGTACCGATTTTTTTTTTGTATGGGGAGTGATGCAGTCTAATGTACATGTATGTATGTAACTTTCACAATAATCTGGCATTAAACCTATTGTCGGAGAATCTTTTTATCAAAGCCGTATATCCATTTCTACTAGAATAACTGGTTTGATTCTAAATAATTTGGTGCTGTGTATTCATTTCTAATAAGTTGATTGAACTGCATAATTTTAAAATGTGAGGACTATACCTCCAACGTGTAAAGTACAAAAGTTTGAAAATTAATACGTAGGTAAAAAAGTGCTAAGATGGCAACATTCTTGTATATGCATTTATATTTACATTAGCCGTGTTTTATTTGTCCAGAAATTTAAGCTATTAGCTTATTTTGTATGGAGGACTTACCCAACATAATTATATTGGCTTATGAAAAGCTATCTTGGCTTGTATATTGAACAAGAGGCATTGCCATTCAGCATCAGAAATTTTCACCTTCAGCCAATCAGAAATAGGCAACAACTTACTCTGACACTATTTGCAGTCAAACAACTGTCAAAATTAGGCTAACCTAGGGAAAAAGCTTATTTCGTTTTATTTGATCAAGATTTAGCTATTTGCTTGTAATGGTTGAATAAAACATGCCTATTATCAGACAAAGTGGGGACAACAAAAAATACAGTAAGTAATGCTAACGTTGCACCTGTTACCTGTAAGTTAGGCTACCTTGCCTGATCCATGAAATCTCACATAGCAAATTATTTGGCTCTGCTTAAGCAGGGATCACACGATTTGTATATTTTCACACTTACAGGGTGGTGTTGTTTGGAAAGTTTTTATTAACCTGAACTCATTCTAGGTAAACATTTCTAAACAACACAACCGGCTGTTCAAGTATTCGGTTCCTTTAGTCGCCGTCATAAATTCTTTGCAACAATCTTTCCCGCTCAATCCCCAAATCACTTCATTGAGGATAATAACTCCTAGTTAGCTGTTAAATGATTTTGGAGCGCAATATCTTCCTGCTCAGGTAGATACCAGGATAGGATGTTATACTTTCATGTAAGAAGTACCAAGTTCGTATAATCTGTTCCGACGCTCTAATGATGCATCGGTGGAGAAAAACGACAACTTTTAATTTATTACCAGTACAGTATGTATACACTAGAGCTCTTGATATTCGATTGATCGATGGTTCGAATAGTGAAATTCGATTAGCTGTATTCGAATAATCGCCACCATGTTCGTTGTCAATTATTCGACTAATAACTGGTAGATATGTACATATACATATGAATCAGTGTTGGGCGTTTATCAATTAATTTTGAACCGACTTCGCAAAAAGGAGAAAGGTTATTAATTCGTCGGAATATTTTATTTTTTTTTTATATATGTTACCGCATAACTTTGGACCACGTTAACCGATTTCTATAATTCTTGTTTTTAAAAGAAAGGTGTTACTATTGTAACGTATATTGTCATTCCAATGTTGGAATATTCGATTGAAACCAGGACCGGATTCGCGGCATTCGTCATAGAGTGATTACTCGTTTCGAATCGAATCTACAATACAATTCAAATGGGCCAAACACACTCGCTATCGAATGTTACGATCTAAAAATCAAACTTCGATTCAAGTTACGTTCGATATCGAGTTCCGCGATTCGGGCCCAGCTTATTTACATCGAATATAACCTCTGATTGTTATTAAAAACAAATATTTGTACATATATAAGTTGCGTACGTCAGACCGCGTAAAACTTGAGAAAGCATGGTCCACTTTGAGCTGTTTTTCTGTTTTTTTTTGCTTTGTAAATTCTTGGCGGTACCATTTACGGTTGTTGGATATGAAGAAATTATTTGTTTGTGGAAAAATTTATAGTTTCGATAAAAAGACGCCACAAAATACATTTGGCGCTAACTTTTCTCTCGCGGTTATGGCTCGTTTGCTTATCATACGAATGTCGACAAATACATTTCGGCATTTAAGGGAATTTCGTCGATTTAGCCTACATTGCACATCCGTAGGTTAACGATTCTTTCACCCATTTTGTCTTGTTGTCGCCAGCGAATGAAGAATTAACATTTCTCAAAATTTCACTACTAAAAATTCAAAAATGTTCTTAAAACTTGCTAGGAAATTTGGAGTAGGATGGGAGTGTCATTGATAACATTAGAGCGAGAGAAATTTTTTCTTACAAAACCTTTCATTATTGAATCATGATCTAACTTCGGCGTCAGAAGAACAAACATTTTTTTCTTTTTATGATGGGCTGAATCGAAGCTACATTTTCGTTCCATTACTTATTATTTACTTTCATTTGCATATTACCATACTGTTGTTTTGTTATTAGAACGTTGGGGGTATACTACAAAAAAAAATTCGGACTAATGCGTCGATGTTAAATAAAATTTAATGACCAATTTACCGTTTCATGTCTTATCAAGAAATGCCAGAAAAAATAAATAAAGTTTCTTAGTAAACCAGAATTATTAAAAAACAACGAAAACAGTATTTTCGGGAATAGCACAAAGATAATTTTGTACGGATAGAAAAACACGGGTATCAGCAAAAATAAATTTTTATCAACTGGAAACAAATTGTACGCAAATCCATACACACACATATGAATGTAGAAATTTTGGCATGGCGACAATTATGAAATTAATTTGCGACTAAAGACACACAAAAAAAAACAGGGAAAGAGGGGAATAACCTGATTTTGAAAGTGGTCAATTAATACTGGTATACATAAACAAATCTATTAAAAACGTTTGTCTCACTTATTTAACAAACAAACGAAATGAAACCAAACGATGTTGTTTTACACATTAATGATAGTATAGAAACAGAACAGATTCTTTAATTAAAACATCGAAATGAAGCTGACATGAAATTTATTATTAAAAAAAAACCGAGTTTTTAAAAATGATTAATTTCTCTCAACATTTTTGACGCTTGTTTAGTGAATTGGACTCGATTCGATCCGAACATCAAACCGCTGCTGACGATGTCGATGGATACCTCAGCAATCCAGTAAATGCATATCGACTCATTAAGCGCTTACATACTGACTGGCGTTCTATTGAGGACATTGTTCGGGAGGATCACACTCAGATGGGTAAACCAGTTTTATCTGCTCATATTTATGCATTTATTGGAGGCACTTTCTTCAGTCAGTTTCAGTTTAGAAGAAAGAGAGAAAGTGAAACAAACATCAAACCAAAAATATCTCAACTGTCACAACTAATCTGCATCGTTTTGTATTTATTTTGATTATTTCTTTAGATTTTCTTAACACGATGGAAGCTAATCGGAGGAGACTCGATTTTCCCACCACAGTGGATATTGAAGGAGCTGCGGCGGCATTAGTACGGCTACAGGATACGTACAAACTGGATGTTGGTGATTTAGCGGGTGGGGTTTTGAATGGGATGAAATACGGGTAGGTGCATTTGTTAGGCGTGCTGTGAATAATTAAAATATTAAGGCCTTCATATACAGGGCGTCAATGACTTGGCAAGATTGCTTTATTCTTGGACATCATCTGTTTGAGATGAACGATTTCAATCACACCATCACTTGGTTAAAGCAGTCAGTTCAACTGCTCAAAGAGCAAGAATACAACCCAGATCCGAGGACGCTGGACTTTTTGGAAACGGTGGTGGCCTATCACCTGGAAATGGGTATGCGAGTGAAATGGGCACTGGAATAATTGCCGAATCTGTCAAAGTAATGGTTAAAGTTACTACATTCCAAATCAGGTGACCTCGAAACGGCCTTGGAGCTAGTGAATCACATACTGGCCACTGACGCGACACGCGAGCACATGTTCGATACTAAGCTTCACTTGCAGCTCATGATTAGCGATGGCGTTAAAACGGGCCTGTTGCATGAGACGGTTTCGCCCCTGGGCGATTATCATGTGAGCTAAGAGGAGCCTAATATTGCTTTCCTTGTTTTAATTTTGTAATCTCTGTTGTTCAGCTTACCAATGACTTCAAGCTTTACGAACAAGTCTGCCGTGGTGAATTACACCTGACCGCTGCCGAAGAACGGCATCTGCGCTGCCGCTTTGATAGTAATAAAGTCCCATATCGCCTACTGCAACCTTTTAAGGTGGAGGAGCTCTCATTGGATCCGAGAATAGTACAAATACACGATGTCATTTCAGAAAGCGACACTAGCGCTGTGAAGCGGTTGGCCAAAGTGCGCATGTCTCGCTCCCAGGTGCGCAATATCAATGGGACGCCTGCATCGACCGCCAATTATCGTATCAGCAAAAGCGCATGGTTTTCATATGAAGAAAGTAGACATATGCGGAAAATTCAACGTTACATGGGCGATCTCTCAGGGTTGAATATGGCGAATGCTGAGCATTTGCAGGTGGCTAACTATGGCATCGGGGGACATTATGAACCGCATTTTGACTTCTTCACCGTAAGTAAAGGCAGTAGTATTTTTGGACCTTGTTTATATTATTGTAAGGCCTTTAATCACTGTTAGAAGGAGCTCGATACAATGTGTGTCGCATAGCTGCATATAGCTATAGAGGCCCGGGTGAGGCTTTTCTTCTAAAAATTTTCGTTTTTCGGATCAGATGTATAGCGATTTTGGCTGGGTGATGTCGCTATATGTATCCTTTTCACCAATGGGAAATTAGAAGCTTCAGAATTTTTTGTTGTTGTGTCTGGGGGTGAGTAATGCAACAGCCGTCCTTCGTGTCAGTTTTGATAAGGCTTGTCCGTCTTGTCTATCCCTTAGCCGTACTCGTGTTCCCTGCTGGGATTACAAGCTTAAGAAAACCCCGATCCTTCAAAACAATTGCTAAGAAGGACTAACACCTATACCGCTGCACGCAAAGGAAATATGTATAAAAAGCTAGTTCGTATAGGAAAGCTACAATGTCTAGGTACGAATGCTTTGTTGCACGAACTGTAGGAATAAAGATGGCATAGGATATACTATTGAAACTTTTGACAGCTTCAAAATGCTCAGCCTGAAACTCATCCTGCCTATTGTACGCCAAAAAGGCGCTGAGCATTTGTTGGCTACCTTGGGTAAATGTTTTCATTGCGTCGCATCCACCGATCATGGAATACTAGTTGACCCCAATGTGTCTATATTAGGTACGGCAAAAAAAGAAAATAATAGATTAATTAATCATATGATTAATCACAAGCAAAAAAAAAAATTAATTGCAATTATTGAGAAATAATCGATTAATCGAATTTTTAAAGGCACGTTTTTAAAGTGAGTATTCACAAAAACTCTTTTCCATAAAAAATTTCTAATTCTCCAGTTAATAGCCTTGAATAAAATAAAACGAGTATTTGTAGTCGCCATAATTCTTTATCATTCAACCAAGTTTGCAAAAACAAAAGCTTTGATAAGCGTTTTGTTGTTAAGCGGTTGCGTTTTTCAGTGGCTGTAAGACCAGCTTTTGGATAAAGGCGCTCAGCAGGCGTCGAGACCCCAACTACAGAAATGAAAGTTTTTTCGAAAGTCCGTAAAGTTTTCATTTCCTCCCAAGCGTTGATGATATTTCGCTTAAGTTTTAGGAATTTAAATAAAAACACATTTCATCTTGTGGGGGACCCAAATCATCATCTTTTCGCCTTCGTTTGTGTACAAGAGATGAAGGAGGGGCCCAAAGATAGTACTCATTTTCTACTGATTCTACACTGAGGGAAAAATAGTAAAATCAAACAGAAATGAATTTGATCTTACTATAAACGTCAATGGAAGTACTGTATAGAGGTAAATATTGAATTCAAACCCGCCCATATTAAAATGAAGCGTTCGTTTTACACTTCACGGATGCTTTTTCATAATTAAGATGAAAAAAAAAAAATTTAATTTCCATGTTGCCCGCAATGGAATTCGAACCCTGACCCTCTGGAAATCAACAAATTGTGGCAAGCATCTGTGCGCACTCAGCTACAGACATGCATGCTTGGTATACATACCCTACACAAAATGCGACCAATCGGGGGGGGACTCCGGGAGCAATCGCAAAGGAACATGCGACTAATACCAGTTTTGTTTTGAACTTTGTGCAGAGGTATGTACACTTACATATACATTCTCAAATGTGGACATTCAAATACGTGCGTACTAAGTTTTATTATGAAAATATTTTTTTTAAGTACCAACATTTTTAAACGATAATAAAATAAAAAGTATTCACTTTTACTATGCATTATTTCCCCAGTGTAGTGACGACTCGCTACCCGTTTTCATAAGGTCATCTGCGCACATTATTTAAGTTCGCAATAACTTCATTACTCAGGCCAATGTTAACGGATCTTTGAAATAAATTTTTTGAACCTCGAGTGGAGTAAAGTTGATGCAGCCAGCAAAAAAATGTTCGATGGATGGATTTTAGACAAATACAGAATTCATATTTCTCGAAAATAAGTTTACGATTATTACGATAAAAATCGATTATTGAAACACAAAACAACGATACAACTAAATCGTAAATTGGGCAAAAATTATCGACTAATTTAATCAAATGATTAATCGTTGCCATCCCTAGTCCATATAGTTTGTTAGGTTAATAAATTTTTTATTCTTCATTCATATATGTAATTTGGAATGACGAATACATTTTCATTCGTCATAATTATTGAAATTTAAGAATACAAATTTATTATTCATCCGAAATTACTTGAATGATGAATGATGATAAATTTATTTGCTATTTGAAATTTTATGATGAATGAATATTTATTCGGCATTCCAAATTACTTAAATGCAGAACAAAAATGTATTCTTTATTAGAAACTACTTGAATAATGAACGAAAATTTGTTCGTATTCTTTTAATTCAATTATTCATTTTCCTAATTTCGCCCAATTCAAATTAAAGTACTAAAAGGGCTCTGATCTTCAATTCTCCGCTCTCGTACATCCGGAGTCCGGACGCATGCTTTCTTTATATTTTTTTAATTAATTAATATAATAAAACTTTAATTTTAGGATAACAGCACATTTTCGCCATCAGTAGGAAATCGCCTTGCTACCGGAATATTTTATGTAAGTTTAAACAACGCTAAATTAATAATACTATACAAAATTATTGTATTGAGTAATTGAAATGCGAAATTTTTTTCACTCCATTTAGTTATCGGACGTAGAGGAAGGGGGTGGCACAGCTTTTCCCTACCTTCGTCTTCGAGTGAAGCCGCAGCATGGGAGTGTGCTTTTCTGGTATAATTTGCATCGTTCCGAGGAGCCCGATTATCGTACGCGGCATGCTGCCTGTCCTGTGCTCAAGGGTTCTAAATGGAGTGAGTGAATATTTCTAATATTTGGATGAAAAAGTTATTTTTTTTAAATGATTTTTCAGTTGCTAATATTTGGGTACGCGCGCGTCATCAAGACCTTCAGCGACCGTGCGACATTGTGCCTGATCATGAAGTGTCGCTCAAATATAAAGACTTGCATTGAGAAAGTATTATACTACTACTCAATTCGTATTAAACAGTATTTATGTAATGTTACTTGTCCTCGAATTTATGTATGAAAATATGTTATACTCGTATGAAAATCTTTTTTAAAAATGTGTTATTCAATTGTGTCATTGTTAATGGGTAGGAAGGGAATTTAAAAGGTGTTCTAATTAGTGATTTAACTATTTGTTTATTATTATTTTTTATTAATTTGTTGTTTATTCACAGCAATTTCCTAATAAAAAAGTAGTTCATAACTTATTTCTTATTTAAATATGTTTGTTTTTTCGACTTCAATTATAAAATGACTATCGATATTTGCCGATAGTACCTATTGAGGAACACTATCGGCCATATTTAATTTATAAGAAAAACTAAATTATTATTAAAATACTTAGTTTTATTAAGCTAAATAATAGTATAATTAAACCCATCCAACTTAAAACTCTCTCTGACTCCAGAGACGATAATGCAATGCAAAGGAATATAAAGCTTTTTTTTTTTGATGAAAGAGATATTGAGGATCCATAACATTAATGTCCTGTTAAAATTTGAAATGACACAATTTTGTCATTTTAAGTTGTAACAGTCTGATAAATTTAAAAATTGATTGGTGAAACTTGGGATAAGTTAATTTCATTAAATATTCGGTTGAATATCCTTGATTAAAATTGAAGAAACTGCTTCGCCGATTTCCTTTTTACTTCCACTTTCACTGCCGAATGTGTACTGAGAAAATACCACAGGTAAAACACACGTATTTAATAGAAATTGTAAAACCAAATTTTTTAACATAATTTTATTTCACTCAAACATAACTAAAAATTATATTGTTGTATACACGATATATAATAATGTTAATGTACCTGTACTTTTTACCATATCAAAAGATTTGTTGTGCGCCGAAAACGCGGGATTATTTGCCAAGAATCCCGGGATTCTCGGGATTTGTAATTTAAAATGGTGGCAACAATATAAACTTTCTCTCTCTGTTCCAAAAAGTTTTTTTTTTAACAACTGTAACCCAAGGATGCATTGTAACATTAATTTTAGCGTTTACCAAAAAAAGCAATCGTTTCTGTTGAAACGATTCAGTTTTTTATCGTTTAGGTAATTACCAAAATAATTCTATTTTGTTTTTTAACGAAAAGAAATTCAATCGTTAACATAGTTACCAACTAGTGCTTTTTGAAAATTAAATCGCCAAAAAAAATTATTTAGTGCCTAGTGCTTTTTTTCTGAACTAAAATTATTTCGAGATAGTTAAAACCTGAAATAATTTGGAATATTTAAGGCTGTGGCAGCACTGAATTTACAAGAATCTACAAATTTAAATGGACTGAAATACAACCATGATTGATAAAAATCTGATGTTGCAAACCCACCTTGTTAAATTCTATTCGCGTTGAAAATGCTAGTACGCAAATAAGTTAAGTTTTTGTTTTTCTCTTTTCTAATTATTTGTACAGATTTTGTTTTTTTTTTACCACATCGTTTCTTGGTGCTGAATCCAAATCTGGCCTCACAATTGCTCTAGCACTAGAATTTTGAGATATCCTAACCTACCTCAAAGTGCCAAAAACACGGTGTTTTAGCGATATTTGAGGTTATATAATGAAAACATCAAATTATTTCCTCATTTTTAATTAGTGCATCATTTTCGTTTGATGCGATTCGATTTTTCTTTCTCGAGATATATCTACCAGTTTTAATGTGCAGTACTTCGGTATTATGTTATAAAAAAAGCATCCCTTGATTAAAAAAAATTTGGTGCTTTTAGTGTGGTAAAACGCTTTTCTTGCAAGTTTTTGGTGCTTTTTGAAAATCAAAAGATGGCAACAGTGATCGTTTATGCTGAAGTTGTAGCATGCACTTACTAGGTGCTTGGTGTTAATAGTGAGCCGGCAATGGCATACAACCATCGGCGTAGCCAGAATGAAATTTAGGGAGGGGCGGGAGGGGCTTGACCCATTGAAGGTGGCATTTCAGGGTACTATTTTATTTATATATAAGGATAATTTGAAAGTTAGGGGGGGTTCGAGCACCTCCCTTCCCCTACCTAGCTACGCCCATGCATACAACAACAACTTTTCGTTGATTTATTTTGTTTCGATATTAACGATTGAGTTTTGTTGCGTTAATTTGCGTTCTGAAACGTAACGGAATTAGTATGATAAATTATTTTTGCGCAACAACAAAACGAAATCGATTCATATAGTTTGTTGAGCATCTCTGCTCTCACCATAACTTCTTTCCATCTGCTTCCATATGGTCGAAAGACTGTGCGTTCCGCTGCTACATAGTTGCATGAATACTGCGTTTGTTTATGCATAAGTACATATGTTTGCATTTCCTTACCATACGTTTTACATTTAACATTCACATCAAAAGATTCGTTATATACATGTATGTATGTGTGATTGTAAACCCTTTGAACAAAGCCAAGTTAACAAACTAAGACGATATGTATGCAGGTATATATTTACTTTATATCAAAAATGGAACATTTATTAACTTATATTTACCTATTCACATCGAAACATAAGTGAACCAGACATAAAAAACTACAATGAGAAATTGGTATGTATGTATATTTACATAGTACTTATTTATGTACATAAATAGTATGTATGTGGTGTCAGACGATTTCTTCTGATTTATAGTTGTCACGTATCACATCACAGGGCCGTCTAAATTCCTGATAATTGGAATATACCCACACGTTGCCAACTGTAAGATAGATGAATGCGGATATTAAAATTTGTTTATACATATATATTTTTTTTATTAAGTAAAAGATTTACTTCGTTTGGCTCCTTTTATGACGGGACAACCAGCGTGGAGAGTGCGCAAATCGGGGTCCAGCGATTTGTGTAAGTTGTGCCACATAATCATTGCTCCCTTTGCAGGCTCTGAGTATACATTGAGGCGAGGAAATACTGTGTAACCGCCCTGGTCTACGTCGGAGAGCTAAAATAAATGCGAAATGAAAAATTTTTGCGTTTTGTGTTTGCATTGAAACTAAAGTAAAAAGTTTTGACTTACGTAGAACATATTTGTGGCTATGCGATCTTCGACCAATGAGGCGTTGGGGGCATCAGTCTGTTGAAAGTTTAATTAGCGCATAATTGCATTTCTAAGTAAACTTACCTTTGGTCCAAAGAAATCGAAATGCGGGTCATACTGTCCGCCAACGCCATAATTGGCCACCTGCATAGCTTCGGCGCTGGTTAAATCGAGGCCACTAATGGCCGATACAGTGCGATAAATGTATTTCATTGTTGGACCCTCATATTGAAGCCAGTTCTGTTGGCTTACGCGTACATCGCTCACTATACCTTGGCGCGCATTGCCAACTTCTGAACGGAACATACCATCGTCGGCCATTTTAAGAATTTCCTCTATATGTGTGTCACTTAGCAGCCCGTAGTAGATGGCGATTTCGGGATCTGATAGCACCTCCTCTTTCTGCAATGGCGCCAGCATGAATAACGGATGATTGAGGGTGTCCAATTTGCATTCGAGCTTGTGAAATTCCTTCTGCGGCACTCGCCTACCCTGACAGAGTCGTGAATAGTTTGCATACCATGCTTGTGCTTGCAAAGCACCCATGCTATCGAAATACGGCTGATTTCGTACTTCTTTAACATTCATGTAGAGTTCCAGATCTTTAAAAATGTGTTCCGGTTCTAGTTCTAGTATTTTATCAACGTATACAGTTGCGTTTTCGCGTTTGCCCAATTCAAATTCAGCTAGTGCCAAATATTCAAGTGTATCCATGTACATTTTGCGGTTCGATAGGTCGTTCTCGAATATCCTCGTTTGTGCTGCTGGAATGTTTGATGAATTTTCATTTGATTGATTTAGTGTGTTGTTAGCTTCTCTATAGCTGCCCTGGCTTGGAATATCGCCCATGTCTGTTCTCTTTTCTGAAATTCCTTTAAGGGTTTTATTGTGCTCGTTGTCTTCATGTAGATCGTATAGCACCACAGGAGCAAAAACCCCATATCTTGCTTCATATATGAGGTCATCGCCTTCATCAACATATTCGTAATCCTCCTCATCTTTATCTTCATCTTCATCGTCACTTTCGTATTCATCTTCATCCCAGTCTTCCTCATCATCATCCCAATATCCAGATGTATATTCACTGTTCGCCGCTCCGTTTGCAGTATCATTATTTAATTGGAGGCGTTCAAGGTCCCTGTCATCGTGATCTCCAGTTGTTTCATATTCTATAGGGGGTTTTTCGGTGCTTTCCTCCAGAAATTTCAATACTAATTTAGCCCAGCTGATAGCTAAAGGATATTCCTTGGCTTCGAAAAGATTGGCTGTGATTTCAAAACATTCCCGAATTGAGAGTTGAGATCTTAACAATAGAATTACGATTTTAATACCACTTCTATTTCATACTAATACCATTGCGTTAATCAAAAATATGGCTTACCCATAATCTACGCCGTTGATGATTCCATCGGCCAAATCAGCCGAGCTCAAATTATACATGATCTGTAGTCTTGCTAGTCCCTTGGCCGCACCACGCAATTCAATGACATCCGGCATTTTCAGTTCCGTTTCCAACTGTGTAAAGTTCCTTTTCAATGCTGCAATGAAAGTGGAAACGATATTTAGTTCATCATTTAAAGGTTAATAGCCCATTTCCACCAAAAGCTTAACTACAGTTAAGTGCTAAAGCAAGTTTCAGGAATTTTAACATGTGGTGATAGGCAAAGTTTGCACACTTTCTTTTGCTTTTACTTAAATGAGCAATTACGCCCTTCGAGTTGTAATCTTCTTTTCCATCCAATAGGCATAAATTGCAGTTAAGGTTTGGTGACAATTAATAATTAGACCGCAATTGTTCAAAAAGGCCGCTGATATGCCCTTGAAGATAGTCTATAGCATGTAAGCAATGCTAGCGTATTTATTGGAAATGCAAGTTGACAGAGCTCTTCATCAGCTTGTGGGTGTCATTGAAAGGCACTAGCCTTTCAAGAATTGCGCACCAGGCGTCTTTATGCGATGTGGTACAAAGCGCTTTGGAAGCTGTGAAAACTTGGTCTAAAGAAAATGGCGTAAATGCAAATCCGACAAAAGCGTCCATGGTTATACTTTCAAAGGAAACAAAAATCGCTTAGCTCCTGCTTCCTTCGAAAAA